TCAGTGTGTCTTTATCTAAACCGGGTTTCTTCAACAGAGGTCGCACAATAGCCTCTTTATACGATACTGGTACAGTAGAAGTTGATAATGACTTGTTTATGATCATCGTAATATTGCTGGCAATGCTGTTTACACAAGTTTTCAAAAGCGTAGTCGGGATTGGGTCGAGTTCACAAGATTTACTTGACACTTTTAGATTTATTTTCGACACTTCATCAATTGACGCAGGGTGGAAGTTGGTGAGAGTGTTGCCTTCAAAACGTATATCTGCTCGTAGAGGGTCAATATCGTCGATAGAATTATTCGCCGAAAGTAAACTTGTCCTGATGTTTTCGATTTTCTCAAGAAAAAAATGTCCGAAACGATTTGACAGTTCAAACTCGCTTTGATGTGATGGAAGGATGACGTCATTACTATTTCCCAAAAGTCCGTTGGTTAATTTGAAAAGTTTTTTGTGATCATTTCCAATATCCGAAATTTTGTTTGAATAGTAATTAGTTTTACTTTGTATCAGTATTTTATTTGATGTGACACATAATTCTTTGTATATCAACTTGTGAACCTCGAGCTTTGTTTTCCGCATAGTTCTCTCAGCTTTCCGACGCTCGACCTTTGCTTTGCGGATTTTGTCGCCATACCATTCCGTGTTCGGTCGCATCGTTATGATTTTTGTTTGAACCGGTGCATGTTTGTCTAAAACTGCCTTGAGATCGGAATTATGCGATTTAACCAAATTCTCAATGTCAGGATCATTGTTGTGAATGAAACAATTCGTGTCGATGTCAGCCTTAAAACTTTCAACGTCGATATTGTTTATCTTTCGGATTGTCAATGATTTTTTCAGTCTTGCTGGTTTGCTAAGATTGATTCGGCTATGAACAGCAAAATGATCTAAGGACGCATTGCTTTTATCGTTGTATATTTGCGTGTCTTCGATTGACGGTTCACCCAACAAGATTGAACTGTTTTCTCTACTTATGATAACATCGAGCGTGTGTCCACGGATATGTGTGGGTCCATCAACTTGTTGTACTAGTCCACGATCGCTAAGTGACTCAGTGAACCTTCGCCCACCGCAATCACTAACGTCATCAAGATGGAAATTAAGATCACCTACGATGATGATTTCACCTGAAAATTCCGTAGTATAGTCTAGGAATTCTAACCATTCTTCGAAAAAAGTGGTTGTTTTCAGTTTATTGTTTCGGGATGGCGGGGGACGATACACAACAAATAGTCGGAACAGGTTGGAATTAATGCTACATTCGAGAAGTTCAAATTGCGTGAGCTGTTTTTTGCGCTTGATTGGTTAAACGCTAAACGCAAAAAAAGGTAAAAATCGTCATTAAAGGGCAATAACTCTAATAAGGAGTCGACTGACGATTTCGACCATGCAGAATTATTTGTGGAACTTGTCTTGATGGTTATTTTTGCAATTTAAAGTTTCTCTCTATCTATTATAATTTTCAAGATAATAGGCAAAAATATAAAAAAGGTAAAATTTGTCATTTAAGGGAAATAACTCCTATTAGATTTGGCCCAGTAGTTTCAGAGAAGAAGATTTTTGTAATAGTTAACGACGACGACAGACGAACGGACGCCAAGTGATGAGACCTTTTAGGCCACGTGAGCTAAAAATACTGTTAAAAGTCTAAAAATGAAGCTTTATTGAATCCACCAAGGCCGGTATAAAGTTGAAAATGCCTTAAAATGTTTTTGGAGCACCTTTTAGGAAAAATTTGGGCAGGGGTTCCCCCGACCCCGGCTAACCCGCCAGGTCTGGGGGGCATTCACCTAATATAAGTATGTTGAAAGAAAAGGGCATTCACCAATAATAAGTATATGCTAAAAGAGAAGGGCATTAACCCACTATAAGTATATGCTATTAATTCCATTTGGCCCAGTAGATTTTTTGTAAAAGATTACAAAGATTTGAAAAAAATGTAAAAAAAAATGACTTTAAAGGGCAATAACCCCTTAAGAGGTCAATTGACAACTTTGGTGATGGTGACTTGCTTGTAGATGTTACTTTACTGAACATTCTTGCTGCTTACAGTTATCTCTATCTATAATAATATTCAAGATAATAACCAACAACTGCACAATTTCCTTAGAATTACCAATTCAGGGACAGCAACCCAACAGCGGGTTGTCTAATTCGTCTTAAAATTTCAGGGCAGATAGATGTTGACCTAATGAACATTTTTACACCATGTCAGATTTGCTCTAAATGCTTTAATTTCAGAGATCAAAGCCAAAATCTGCATTTTACCCCTATGTTCTTTTTTTTAGCAATGGCGGCCATCTTGGTTGATGGGCAGGGTCACCAGATACATTTTTTAAAGTAAATATCCTAAGGATGATTTAGGCCAAGTTTGCGTTAACTTGGCCCAGTAGTTTCAGAGGAGAAGATTTTTTGTAAAAGTTAACGGTTGACGACGGACGACGGACGCCAAGTGATGAGGAAAGATCACTTGACCCTTTGGGTCAGGTGGGCTAAAAAGCAATGCGTAGACAGGCCAACTCGATAAAAATATGGTGATGTTCAGGTTGAATTGAGTAAAATGGGCTTGAAAACAGAGAAAAATAAGAATTTAAAATTAAATTCCACAATTAAAACACTTGATTATCACACAGAAACGTCATGTACAACGTTTCAATTTTGTGTGCAAAAGATCAAAGTTTATGCCTTTTTATCGCGTTTTGTTAGATGAACGACGGAAACCAAGGGCATAACGTTTTTTGGTCCTCTAATAAAGTAGCAAAGGTTATGTCAGTTGATGATGGATGCCACGGAAGATGCCTTATTTATCTGCTTTCTAATCTGATGTACTGCTTTTTTTACAGTTGCTCTGTAAAGCCAATGCTCTTTATTGCTGTTGCTCTTAATTACTGTTCAAAGCCGATGTTCATACTTTGCTAATTAAAGCCGATGCTCTTAAATGCACATTGAAATGTGTCAATGCGTCAACTAAAGCCAATGCTCTTAAAATAGGTCAATGATTCAAGCTGAAGGCAATGTTTTCCCTTTAGCTAATGCTTTATGCTACAGCCAAGGCTTAACTCGGATGCCACTGCTTCTTTAGCAGCTACTTCTTTATATAACTAAGCACTGTCCCATATGAAGATTGGAGATACCGTTTGGTTTGTGTAATGGTCTATCGTGATATACCGTATGGTTTGTGTACTGCACTATCAGGGGATACCGCTTGGTTTGTGTACTGGTATATCGTGGAATACTGTATGGTTTGTGTACTGGTTTGTCGAGGGATACCGTATGGTTTGTGAACTGGTCTATCGAGGGATACCGTATGGTTTGTGAACTGGTCTATCGAGGGATACCGTATGGTTTGTGAACTGGTCTATCGAGGGATACCGTATGGTTTGTGTACTGTCTATCGGGGGATACCGTATAGTTTGTGTACTGGTCTATCTAGGGATACCGTATGGTTTGTGAACTGGTCTATCGAGGGATACCGTATGGTTTATGTATTCATTTGGTCTATCGTCATAAACCGTATGGTTTGTGTACTGGTCTATCGTGATATACCGTATGGTTTGTGTACTGGTTATTCGTGGGATAACGTATTGTATGTGTACTGGTCTATCGGGGGATACCGTATCGTTTGTGTACTGGTCTATCGAGGGATACCGTATGGTTTGTGTACTGTACTATCGAGGGATATCGTATGGTTTGTGTACTAGTCTTTCTTGGGATATCGTATGGTTTGTGTACTGCGTTATCGCGGAAAACCGTATTGTTTGTGTACTGCACTATCGGAGGATGACGCATGGTTTGGGTAATGGTCTATCGGGGGATACCGTATGACTTGTGTACTCCACTATCGGGGGATACTGTATGGTTTGTGTAATGGTCTATCGAGGATAACGATGTTTTGTTAACCATTCTATTCGGTGAGTACCGTATTGTTCATGTACTGTACTTCGAGGGATGACGTCTGGTTTGTGTACTGCACTATCGGGGGATACCGTATGGTTTGTGTACTGGACTATCGGGGGTTGCTGTATGGTTTGGGTACTGGTCTTTTAGTGGAATCCGTATGGTTTGTGTACTATTTTATCGGCGGATACCGTATGATTTGTGTATAAACTGGTCTTTCTTGGGGTACCGTATGGTTTGTGTACTGGTTTGTCGAGGGATACCGTATGGTTTATGTACTGGTATTTCGTGAGTTACCGTACGGTGACTTTTAATTCCACTTGGTCGATGCCACTGCAGGTGGACGTTTCGTCACTGAGGGTATCACTAGCCCAGCAGTTAGCCCTCTTGTATCGATATCAAATATCATTGATTTTGTACATTTACAATTTATAAAATGTTGGTTTTAAATTGGTATGATTCAAGCGTGAATGATGAGTCTTATGTTGATGAAACGCGTCTATAACGTACCGAATTATAGCCTGGTATCTTTGGTGATTTCTCTTACGTACCGAATTATAAGCCTGGTATCTTTGGTGATTTCTCTAACGTACCGAATTATAAGCCTGGTATCTTTGATGATTTCTATAACGTACCGAATTATAGCCTGGTATCTTTGATGATTTCTATAACGTACCGAATTATAGCCTGGTATCTTTGGTGATTTCTATAACGTACCGAATTATAGCCTGGTATCTTTGATGATTTCTATAACGTACCGAATTATAGCCTGGTATCTTTGATGATTTTTTTTATACAGTTGCATTATGGCAACAAGAGATGCATCCAAGTCGTAGAAAGCAATCGTCATAGCAACAAGAGAAGCATTCGAGCCGTAGAAAGTAATCGTCATAGCAACAAGAGAAGCATCCAAGTCGTAGAAAGTAATCGTCATAGCAACAAGAGAAGCATCCAAGTCGTAGAAAGTAATCGTCATAGCAACAAGAGAAGCATTCAAGTCGTAGAAAGCAATCGTCATAGCAACAAAGTTGCATTCAAGTCGTAGAATGCAATCGTCATTTTTCAATCCTCATACCAAGAAAAGCAAAAACTAACTGTGTAAGCTTGCTCCCACATTTATTTAACAATTAAAAACTTATATCTGAACATAAATTACTACTCAATTTATTTATCAAACTTATGCATTTATATTATAAAAAAAAGTAAAATAGCAGTTTATCCTGTTTCGTTTAGACCGTTAGGAAATAAATGTAGTCCCACATTGAAGGCTGGAAGAAATTGTAATCTTTAATTCCTGTAAAATTGCAGAAAGAAATACATACAGATATGGCGTAAGTTGAACATTGTACTTTTTAACCGTCCATTGAAGGAACAAAAACATATCCGACAACCCATGGGTATAGAGATGTTGATAAAATGTATCCATCAAATTGCTTTCCGATGTTGATGCTAATTTGGAAATTGTCATAATCGAACCGGTCATAATCGACTAACCATTTTTTTTTTTAATTAACAGGTAACATAGCAACGCCTTTCCACGTACACAATAAAAGATATTTTCACCCGTCAATTACCAATTATTATCATGTAAAATTTATGTTGCAAAAACGCCTAATTTTGTAGGTATGTTCTATTCCCTCATCGTAATAAAAGTCATATCTACGTATGTTTCTAAGCTGAAACGTTGCTATTTGGATGTGTAGTTAAGAAACGAATAATAGTTATGTTCATTCCTAACATTTTTACAATTGCTTAGATCCAGAAACACACAGGTTTGGAAAAGTCGGTGACGGATTTTATACTTTTGGTTCAAAGGTTGTTTCCCCATGTCAAAAAAGCGTCAATTTTTTCATGGTTTATAGGTGTTCCTACCAAAAACGGAGTCACACATTTTAAAAATTCAAGAATAGATGGTCCAAACATGGTAAATATATGTCCTACTTTTTAAACAATGTTATATTTAAACTGTGTAGAATGTTCGACAGAAACGTATGTTCATCAATGACCTACAGGATAATTTATAAATCAGATATTCACTTAAAATAACATAAGAACATTTATTCACTAGTATAATATTACAGTCATAAAAATAATTCTGGTCGAAAACACATTTACGTAACAAAATAAACAAGCACAACATATTTTTGCTTCTTACACACATGCGCATTTAGACAGTTCAGAACTCAATTTTTTTTGTACTTCCGGGTGCAGCTCACTCCATTTCCTGTCATCACCTGTAAAATAAAGATGACAAAATACTACCACGGTCAGTGAAATGTAAACATACGCTTACTAATTACTACCACGGTCAGTGAAATGTAAACATACGCATACCAATTACTACCACGGTCAGTGAAATGTAAACATACGCTTACTAATTACTACCACGGTCAGTGAAATGTAAACATACGCATACCAATTACTACCACGGTCAGTGAAATGTAAACATACGCATACTAATTACTACCACGGCCGGTGAAGTGTAAACATACGCATATTTATTACAACCACGGCAAGTGAAATGTAAACATACGCATACTAATTACTACCACGGTCAGTAAAATGTAAACATACGCATACTAATTACTACCATGACCGGTGAAATGTAAACATAGGCATACTAATTACTACCACGGTCAGTGAAATATAAACATACACATACTAACTACTACCACGGCCAGTGAAAAGTAACATACGCATTCTTATTTCTACCACAGTCAGTGAAATGTAAACATTCGCATCTCTATTACTACCACGGACGGTGACATGTAAACATTCGCATACTAATTACTACTACGGCCAGTGACATGTAAACATACGCATACTAATTACTACCACGGCCATTAAAATGTAAAAATTCGCATACTAAATACTACCACGGCCATTGAAATGTAAACATTTGCATCTGCATTACTACCACGGCCAGTAAAATGTAAACATACGCATACTTATTACTACTACGACCAGTGAAATGTAAACATACGCATACTTATTACTACTACGGCCAGTGAAATATAAACATACGCATCTCTATTACTACCACGGCCAGTGAAATGTAAACATTCGCATACTTATTACTACCACGGCTAGTGAAATGTAAATATTCGCATCTCTATTATACTAATTACTACCACGACCAGTGAAATGTAAACATTCGCATACTAATTACTACCACGGCCAGTGAAATGTAAATATTCGCATCTCTATTATACTAATTACTACCACGACCAGTGAAATGTAAACATTTGCATACTAATTACTACCACGGCCAGTGAAATGTAAATATTCGCATCTCTATTATACTAATTACTACCACGACCAGTGAAATGTAAACATTCGCATACTAATTACTACCACGGCCAGTGAAATGTAAATATTCGCATCTCTATTAAACTAATTACTACCACGATCAGTGAAATGTAAACATTCGCATACTAATTACTACCACAGCCAGTGAAATGTAAATATTCGCATCTCTATTATACTAATTACTACCAAGACCAGTGAAATGTAAACATTCGCATACTAATTACTACTATAGCCAGTGAAATGTAAACATTCGCATCTCTATTACTACCGGTAAACATTCGCATACTTATCACTACCACGGCCAGTGAAATATAAACATACGCATACTACTTACTACCACGGCCAGTGAAATGTAAATATTCGCATCTCTATTATACTAATTACTACCACGTCCAGTGAAATGTAAACATTCGCATACTAATTACTACCACGGCCAGTGAAATGTAAACATTCGCATACTAATTACTACCACGGTCAGTGAAATGTAAACATTCGCATCTCTATTACTACCACGCCCAGTGAAATGAAAAAACAGAATCGGTACCAATTTGTCTGCACCAGATGCGCATTTCGACAATCAATGTCATTTTAGTGATGCTCGAAGCCAAAATATTTGTAAATACAAAGCTTATAAAAAATATGAAGAGCTATAAACATTCGCATACTAATTACTACTCCGGCCAGTTGAATGTAAATATTCGCATCTCTGTTGTACTAATTACTACCACGACCAGTGAATTGTAACATTCGTATCTCTATCACTACCACGACCAGTGAAATGTAAACATTCGCATACTAATTACTACCACGGCCAGTGAAATGTAAACATACGCATACTAATTACTACCACGGCCAGTGAAATGTAAACATACGCATCTCTATTACTACCACGCCCAGTGAAATGTAAAGCTGCGGTCACATCTTAACGGATAGCTCGAACGGACGCCGAACGGATGAAAAAAAGTTTTCCGTTGACAACATTTGTATCCGTTGGGAGTCCGTTGGTGTACTGACCATATAAAACGGACGCATAACGAATGGTTAACGAACACACACCGGATATGTAACGTTCGAGAAACGGAAACGTACCGGACAGAACGGATGTCGAACGTACATCCAACGGACGAGTACCGCATAAAACGGACACCTAACGGAAGCGTACCGGATAAAACGGATGAACAAGATAAGAGGGAAATTAAAGGCGGCAATATTAATACATGTAAATCACATAAACGTGACCTTAAAATAATTAAAAAGTTTTCGTGTAACTGGTTGTAGTTTATAGTCTAGAAGGTTTATATTTGCAACATTTAAGTTCAGTCTGGCCTAAATAAGAGCTGTTTGATAGTGAAGACGAGCCTTACTCAGCGATCCATTAAGAATAATAAACATTCATGACATTCAAGAAATCTGACATACCAATAATTGGCATTTCTAACGCGAAATTTTCAATTGGCATTTATTCGTTTTACATTCGGTACGTATCCGTTTTATCCGTTATCCTCCCGTTCATGTCCGTTTCACATCCGTTTATCATCCGTCTTATCCGTTATACGTTCGTTATACGTCCGGTAGTAGTCCGTTGGTGAATTGGTCTACCGGACCATCAACGGATGTATAACGGACAGGTAACGGATACAAAACGGAAACGAAACGGACGAGTACCGTTAAAAACGGACGACTACCGGACGTTAAACGGACACTTTATCCGTTGGACGTCCGTTCGAAGTTTTGAACATGCTCAAAATTTTCTACCGGACAGAACGGACGTCGACGGATAAAACGGAAGCTGAACGGACATGAAACGGATATTGACGGAAGTCTAACGGATATGAACGGACTTCTAACGGACATGAACGGATTTAAAAAAAAAAGTTATCCTTTCGGCGTCCGTTCGCGCTATCCGGTAAGGTGTGACCGGGGCTTAAACATTCGCATACTAATTACTACCACGGCCAGTGAAATGTAAACATTCGCATACTAATTACTACCACAGTTAGTGAAATGTAAACATTCGCATACTAATTACTACCACGGCCAGTGAAATGTAAACATTCGCATACTAATTACTACCACGGCCAGTGAAATGTTAACATTCGCATACTAATTACTACCACAGCCAGTGAAATGTAAACATTCGCATCTCTATTACTACCACGGCCAGTGAAATGTAAACATTCGCATACTGATTACTACCACGGTCAGTGAAATGTAAACATTCGCATACTTATTACTACTATAGCCAGTGAAATGTAAACATTCGCATACTAATTACTACCACGGTCAGTGAAATGTAAACATTCGCATCTCTATTATACTAATTACTACCACGGTCAGTGAAATATAAACATTCGCATACTTATTACTACTATAGCCAGTGAAATGTAAACATTCGCATACTAATTACTACCACAGCCAGTGAAATGTAAACATTCGTATCTCTTTTACTACCGGTAAACATTCGCATACTAATTACTATAACGGCCAGTGAAATTTAACAGTCGCATACTAATTACTACCATGGCCAGTGAAATGTAAACATACGCATCTCTATTACTACCGGTAAACATTCGCATACTAATTACTACCACAGCCAGTGAATACTTAATAAGAACTAACAAAGATGTTACAATAATTCACAAAATGGTGTTCCCATCCAATCAAGCACAGCATGTTGTGCTTCTTAATTAATGTAGAAGGCTTCAAGTGGAGAAATAACTAAATTATATGTGGTTTATGTGCAGAAGGGAAATCAGTTATTCACAACACATATTTAATGAGTTACATGTTAAAAGCTTTACCTTTAAAACAGTTGAACGCATGTTATACATACGTCATCAAAGTTACAATGACTAGGTGTACTAATGTTATACATACGTCATCAAAGTTACAATGACTAGGTGTACTAATGTTATACATACGTCATCAAAGTTACAATGACTAGGTGTACTAATGTTATACATACGTCATCAAAGTTACAACGACTAGGTGTACTCATGTTATACATACGCCATCAAAGTTACAATGACTAGGTGTACTAATGTTATACATACGTCATCAAAGTTACAATAACTAGGTGTACTAATGTTATACATACGTCATCAAAGTTACAATGACTAGGTGTACTAATGTTATACATACGTCATCAAAGTTACAACGACTAGGTGTACTCATGTTATACATACGCCATCAAAGTTACAATGACTAGGTGTACTAATGTTATACATACGTCATCAAAGTTACAATAACTAGGTGTACTAATGTTATACATACGTCATCAAAGTTACAATGACTAGGTGTACTAATGTTATACATACGTCATCAAAGTTACAATGACTAGGTGTACTAATTTAAGGAGTTCGAAGCGCTTTACTGAATTTACCTCCATCAGAAATCCAAAAGTTGAAAGCTAAGGATGTATAACATCTTGAACTACTGAGGAGCTTATAACAAAAATGGACATGACAAGGAAAGTCATATGAATCTATGGTCAACTTGCCTGATACACGTACTTTACCTTACAAAGTTCGCCTGTTAACTATAAAAGTTAACAGATCGGATTCATATTTTTTTCAGAAGTGGGTATAGGTTCGTTCGAATTTGTTATTTGTATCCGGAATACTTACCATTGTCATTGTATCTCCGTCAACAGTCCGAACATTAACAGATTCAAAATCTGGTCCCGTTTGTTTCTCTGTCAGCTTGTTTCCGTCCAATGTATACAAAGCCTACAATAAGAAGTTTTATTTTAAAATACAGTACTAAATAGCCATTAGCTTTTCAACTACTAAAACATCATATTAAGATGAAGTGATTTACTTAAGGAAGCGAACACGATTTTCACAAAGCATATATGAGATGAAAATGGCACTATATATATTTTGTGCGTCCGAAGTGCTTTTCTGGATTTACCTTCATCAGGAACGATCAAACCCCAAAATATTTGAAACCCAAGGATGAATAAATAGATGAATCCTCAGGGAATTAAAAAGAATAGCCAAATCCACCTAAGGTTAACTTTGCCTGAAAGTATTAGAACCTTATGCTGCGTTCACACGTAACTCGAATTCGATTCGCATTAACTAATTCGAATTAGTTTAATTCGCATTCGAATCGTTTTACGTCCAAACGTTAATTCTAATTCGAATTGCAATACGCGTCAATTTTGCTTTACTGTCCGAACGATGTTAACTTTTAATTCGTATCAACAAAAACGGATTTCTAATGCGAATTGGTTAATGCGAATTAGCCAATTCGAATCAATTCGAATTAAAAAGGAAGAGTGTGTGAACGCGATTAGCGAATTCGATTCGCATTCGATTCGAATTCAATTCGAATTAAATGTACGTGTGAACTAGGCATTAGTTTCCTAATAATTTCTAAATTTGAACCGACGCACTGACTACTGAGTTAATGATACTAGCAGTACACCAACAGCGGTATCGACTCACTTCTATAAAATAAAACAATCTATTAATCTGATGTATCCGAAAAGCTTTCCTAGATATATCTCCATTTCTATAATAATAATTCTGATTCTTAGCAATTGTTTGTCGTATTATTTTGTCGTTGATACATGCAGTATGTATGGAAAGGAGTCTTCATATTCTTACTGAGTTTATTTGTTACTTGACAATACAAATGTAGGTGTGGAGTACAGTTATACAATATGACAACATCAGTAAAGGCTATTCGAAAACATATCTTAATCACACACTTATTTTAATTATATCCTGTTACTATCGGTCGACAATAGGTAACACATATTACCATCTGCTGTACACGATGGTACACTCCATTTTATTGCAAATGGCAACCGTAAACAAAGACAAAAACCTTGTGTACACGCTACCAACAACAGTCGTTTTAATTATCAATCGGGAGCACATATCCTATTGTATCTGCCGTATCGATAGCCGGTAATAGAATGTGTTAATTTTTTTGATAGAAAATGCCTATGAAAAATTGACAACGCCATGACAAAATACGAAAAACGACAAAAAGACAAAAAGACACAACAGTATTTAAAACACAACACTGAGATGTGAATTCGAACATAGCACATGGTAGGTAGGTTCGAATCAAATATTAATTGGCTATGATTGTCAGCTTCCTTGTCGAAGTTCGGTGGTTCTCTCTGGGTACTCCAGGCTCTTCCATCAATAATAACTGACCGCCACGATATAGACAAAAGTGCTGAAAGTGGATTAAAACACCAACAATAAAACAATCAAGTACACAACATTAATTAAAGAGAGACGTGATATACAATAGTGATGTTCAAATTCAATAGTAGATGACAAATAAACAACGCCATGGCAAAAACAAAAAAACAACGAAAAGACACAACAGCATTTAAAACACAACATACATACTAAGTTACACGAACCCCACATGGATACGGGGGTCATCTCAGGTGCTCTGGAGGGGTATGCAGATTTCAAGTTATGAACTGGTATTTTGCAAACAAATGTTTCATTTAAATTATGTCATTCTCGAAGCACAGACTATTGGACGGGTTGTACACTCGGAAACCGATATTCCTCACGCAAGAAGAGAAACCGAGCCATGTGTTGTTTACGACACGTGTTTCTGTAATAATCTTCTACAGGTAAGATTCGGACCAACATTTTTGAATTAATATATAATAAACATTTGAGAGCATAATACGAAAGAAGCTTAACCAGTAAATCCGAAATAGTCTATTGTCAACAGGTTTGATAGACGTATGAACGTAGTTTAAGTATAAATATTTAATTATAAAAGAGAAGCGAAAAACAACAAAGGGACATTCAAACTTATAAGTGGAAAATAAACTGACAACGCCATGGCTAAAAATGAAAGAGACAAAGAGACAAACAACAATACACAAAATACAACATATAAAAACTAAAGACTGAGCGACACAAACCCCACAAAAAACTGGGGGTGATCTCAAGTGCTTTGGAAGGGTAAGCAGATCCTGCTCCACATGTGGCACCTGTCGTGTTGTATATAAACTATACCAAACACAGGTATACAACAAATGCTGGCAGTACTGAAGCATTGTCTAATTGGCTGATGATACAAACCGACGACCTAAGATGCCGACCATCCACATGCAGTAAAACCAAAGTAGTCCACATGTAACGGTACCGTAGCACTAACAAGGGCTGGTGATACCCTTCGACGACGAATACAGTCCACAAGTAAAGGTACCGTAACACTAACAGGGGTAGTGAAACTATTCGACGACGACAGTTCATAAGCAGCGATACCGTAGCACTAACAGGGGGTGATGATAATCTCCAGAGCGACAGTCCATAAGTAACGGTACTGGAGCACTAACAAAGGCTGGTGATACCCTTTGACGCCTACAGTCCACAAGTAAAGGTATCGTAACACTAACAGGGTTAGTGAAACCATTCGTCGACGACAGTTCATAAGTAACGGTACTGTAGCACTAACAATGGCTGGTAAAACCCTAACACGCCGACATTTCATAAGCAGCGGTACCGTAGCACTTTATAGGGGGTGGTGAAACCCTCCCACGCCGACATTTCATAAGAGCGGTACCGTAGCACTATATAGGGGTGGTGAAACCCTTCCACGCCGACACTTCATAAGCAGCGGTACCGTAGCACTTTATAGGGGTGGTGAAACCCTCCCACGCCGACACTTCATAAGCAGCGGTACCGTAGCAATAACACGGGCTGGTGATACCCTTCGACACCGAAATTCAGCAGCGATACCTGTACCGATGCCTTGGCTAGAAGGCGGATGTTTCCCTCCGATGCAGACAGTCAATAAGCAGTGACACCGAAGCACTGACTAATGTGTGGATAAAACATTCCGACACCGCCAAACAACAAGCAGTGATTTCCAAGTACGTACTAGGCGGACCATACCCCGACAAACCACAATCAGCGATACCAACAATGCGGATGATAGCCTCCGACGCCATCGGTTCACAAGCAATTGCGACGAATCACTGACTTGTGAACGGATGATAGCCTCCGACGCAATCGGTTTACAAGCAATGGTGCCGAATCACTGACTTGTGAGCGGATGATACCCTCTGACGCTAATAGTTCAACAGCAGTTGTACCGAAGTACTGCAGTTAATTTGGCGGATAAAAATCTTCGACTCGAGCTCCCACAGTCAACAAAACAGCCGTACCGACGTACAAACAAGTGGGCCGCTTTTACCCTCCAACGCCGAAAGTTTACAAGCAGCGATACATGTACCGAGTCACTGGCTAAAGGGCGAATAATACCATCCGATACCGACAGTCGACAAGCAGTGTTGTCGACTCAGGAGTAAATCGACCCGGTATATTTGAATTTCTATTTGATTGACGTCTCACTTTAATAATGACGAGAAAAAACTGAACATGGGCTCAACATATATATATACCAGGATTGGTCATATTAGACCATAAGCTCTACACAACAGATAGATGGTACCATATCATTTCTCTTACATGTTGAGTCATCATCTGTCAGTGAAAGCCAATACTGTCAGTTTAATTATGAATATGGAAATTGTCTTGTTAATCACAGGATATAAAAAGTATCATGCTTAAAGTATGCATAGATTCCAGTCATTATTGATAAAAACATTCAGTGTGCAATTTGCTAATCAATATATGTCTATATGACAAATTTCTGTGGGACATTATATCATTCAAGATTTTATTGTTTTGCTAACCATGCAAAAAAGAGGCGAAGGATACCAAAGGGACATTCAAAATCATAAGTTAATAAATGTGGATAGTGTCCACATGACAGATGATGCCCCCGCTTGTATATCATATAGTTATAAAGGGACATAACTGAAGAACGGTAAAAGTGACGCTACCCAAATTTGAACTTGATCTGAGTTTTGTGGTAATAAGCATTGTGTGACTAAATTAAGTAGAAAACAGAAACTACAAATTCAGCAATTTTTCTATTTGTAAACACGCATAACTCTAGAACGGTTGTGTATAAGTTTTATTACATTTGGTTGAGACAAACTAAAGTTAGAGAACAGGAAACGAAAAAATCAGCATTTTCTATGTTTATAAAGGGACATAACTCATTACAAGAATGGTAAAAGTGTCGCCACCAAATTTCGTACTTAATCTGTATTATGTAGTAATAAGCATTGTGTATAAGTTTCATAACATTTGGTTGAGGCAAACTAAAGTTAGAAAACGGAAACAAAAAGTTTGTCCTTGATCGTAGTTTTGTGTTAATGAATATTGTGTATAGGTTTCATAATGTTTGGTTGGGGCAAACTTAAGTTACAGAATGGAAACTAAAAATTTAGCAATCTTTCGATTTATAAAGGGGCATAACTCAATAATGGTTAAAGTGACACTGCAAATTCAACTTGATCTGTGTTTTATCAGTGGAAGTCAAAATTAAACATTGCATTGTATAAAGCATTGATTGTAGTTGATTCAACTATAATAATGGACAAAGGAAGATAACTCCGATTTTGAAAATTACTTGATATTTGGAAGAAAATAAAAATTTTGCAATTTTTTCATTTATAAAGGGACATAACTCTAGAACGGTTAAAGTGACGCCACCAAAATTCAAACTTGATCTGTGTTTTGTGGTAATAAGCATTGTGTATAAGTTTCATAACATTTGGTTGAGGCAAACTTAAGTTAGAGAACGGAAACTAAAAAAATTGCAATTTTTCCATTTATAAAGGGGGATAACTCTAGAACGGTTAAAGTGACGGCACCAAAATTCAAACTTGATCTGTTTTTGTGGTAATAAGCATTGTGTTTAAGTTTCATAACATTTGGTTGAGGCAAACCTAAGTTAGAGAACGGAAACTAAAAATTTTGCAATTTTTCCATTTATGAAGGGGGATAACTCTAAAACGGTTAAAGTGACGCCACCAACGTACGTACAGACGGACAAGGGTAAAACTTAATGCCCCACCGCTACGGCGGGGGCATACACATGTTGTTGTTCGATATCTTGACTTTTTATATTGTAAATTTACATTGATATGAAGGAACATAATTTTTTTGTATGATCTTTATTACCCGAAGTATAATTCACGCTACCTGTCCTATATTAGATATCTGAAATTCTCCAATGTCAGTTACTTGCATCTACCATAGATTGTCCTCAGAAAATAATAATAATGGTTTAATTGCTTTCTTTCGAACGTTACAGAGATTCTCTACTTTCCTAGTTACAGTGTAAATACCATTGTATCTCTGATATACCTTAAGTGGTCTTCCATCTAAAGTGGTTGTATCTATTTCTGTTCCCAATGTAAATTTGATATCTCTAGATCCAGCTGACGTTGTCACTCCAAACGTCCAATTATCGCCATCGCTAGATATTTTATATGTCATTTTAGAGGAATCTCCCAAAGTCTGCATGGCCTGCTGTCGCCTGTCATCCGGGACACCTGAAATACATGTATAAGCTTTTTAGAGAAGCTGATCTGACCATGTCAACCATAAATCATTGTTACTGTGTTAGTAATATTCTGATGATTATAGAAACCAAGGTGGTGGATAATTACGAAATTATTTGTTGATCTGTACACTTAATAATTGACCAAAATTTTACAGCTATTGCACGAAAATCGAACACAATTTCCGGTTCATTTTTTTCATCCACCTTTTCTGTGTTTCAATATTTAACAGTACTAGTATCAAAAACGACATAAGAGAATTAATATTAAGAAAAGACTTCTTTATCCACAAAAAGCGTTGTATTTAATCACCAAAACGGCAAATATTGAATCATATAGATATCGAGCTGGTCATTAAGAATTTCCCACGAATTTCTAGTTTCTGTGTCAATTAGCAGAACATTTATCGGATTTAATCGTTTAAAAGGGGATTGAGTTAAATAATTAAAAAAAACATAATCGTTTTAAGCTGCATATCAGCTTTTTAAAAATTAACCTGTATATAGTAAAGTGTAATATGAATTGTATTATTTGACTTCATCAAACTAAAAGCTTGCACACATCAAGGCATCTAGAACACCATGTAGCACAATAACAGAAAGAATCATCATTATGAATTACACAATTACACAATTCATAATTTACAAACCAAAATCTAATTCTTTATGATTTGCATATTATTGATGATGTTGACGAATATTACATGCATATCAGGCCGAGAACATGTTAATGTAATATGAATATGACGAATAGTACATGGCTATCAGGCCGAGAACATGTTAATGTAATATGAATATGACGAATAGTACATGGCTATCAGGCCGAGAACATGTTAATGTAATATGAATATGACGAATAGTACATGGCTATCAGGCCGAGAACATGTTAATGTAATATGGATATGACGAATAGTACATGGCTATCAGGCCGAGAACATGTTAATGTAATATGAATATGACGAATAGTACATGGCTATCAGGCCGAGAACATGTTAATGTAATATGAATATGACGAAAAGTACATGGCTATCAGGCCGAGAACATGTTAACATGTTAATGTAATATGAATATGACGTATAGTACATGGCTATCAGGCCGAGAACATGTTAATGTGATATGAATATGACGAATATTACATGCATATCAGGCCGAGAACATGTTAATGTAATATGAATATGACGAATAGTACATGGCTATCAGGGCGAGACCATGTTAATGTAATATGAATATGACGAATAGTACATGGCTATCAGGCCGAGAACATGTTAATATGTTAATGTAATATGAATATGACGTATAGTACATGGCTATCAGGCCGGGAACATGTTAATGTAATATGAATATGACGAATAGTACATGGCTATCAGGCCGAGAACATGTTAATGTAATATGAATATGACGAATAGTATATATACATGGCTATCAGGCCAAGAACATGTTAATGTGATATGAATATGACGAATATTACATGCATATCAGGCCGAGAACATGTTAATGTAATATGAATATGACGAATAGTACATGGCTATCAGGCCGAGAACATGTTAATGTAATATGAATATGACGAATAGTACATCGCTATCAGGCGGAGAACATGTTAACATGTTAATGTAATATGAATATGACGTATAGTACATGGCTATCAGGCCGAGAACATGTTAATATAATATGAATATGACGAATAGTACATGGCTATCAGGCCGAGAACATGTTAATGTAATATGAATATGACGAATAGTACATGGCTATCAGGATGAGAACATGTTAATGTAATAAGAATATGACGAATAGTACATGGCTATCAGGATGAGAACATGTTAATGTAATATGAACATGACGAATAGTACATGGCTATCAGGCCGAGAACATGTTAATGTAACATTAACATGACGAATAGTACATGGCTATCAGGCCGAGAACATGTTAATGTAATATGAATATGACGAAAAATATGATTTTGATTTGTTATACGGTGACGAATATTACATACCTATCAGGACGAGAACATGTTAATGTAATATGATCTTGTTTTATAATATAGTGACGAATATTACATTCCTATCAGGACGACAACATGGTAATGTAATATGATCTTGATTTGTTATACAGTGACGAATATTACATTCCTATGACGACAACATGGTAATGTAATATGATCTTGATTTGTTATACAGTGACGAATATTACATTCCTATCAGGACGAGAGCATTGTTAGATAATATGATCTTAATTTGTAATACAGTGACGAATATTACATAAAAATAAGGAGATGTGGTATGATTGCCAATGGGACAACTATCCACCAAAGTTCAAATGAAGTGGATGTAATCAATTATAGGCAACTGTACGGCCTTCAACAATGAGAAAAACCCATACCGGATGGTCGGCTATAAAAGGCCCCGACACGAAAAATGTGAAACAATTCAATTGAGAAAACTAACGGTCTAATTTTTACCTATCAGGACGAGAGCATTGTTATATAATATGATCTTGTCGGTAATACAGTGACGAATATAACATGCCTTTCAGGACGAGAACATGTAAATGCAATGTGATCTTAACAGTAATACAGTGACGAATATTACATGCCTATCAGAACGAGAACATGTTAATGTAATATGATCTTGATTGGTAATACAGTGACGAATATAACATGCCTATCAGGACGAGAACAGGTTTATGTAATATAATCTTGATTTGTAATACAGTGACAAATATTACATTCCTATCAGGACGAGAACATATTAATGTTATATGATCTTGATTTGTAATACACTGACGAATATTACATGCCTTTTAGGATGAGAACATGCTAATGTAATATGATCTTGATTTGTAAAACAAATAGCAAAAATACTGAACTCCAATGAAAATTCAAAACGGAAAGTCCCTTATCAAATTCCAAAATTAAAAGCTCAAACACATAAAAAAAAATGGAAAACAACTGTCATATTCCTGACTTGGTACAGTCATTTCTTTATGTAGAAAATGATGAATTAAGCATGGTTTTATAGCTATCTAAATCTTTCACTTGTATGACAGTCTCATAAAATTCCATTATATTGACAACAATGTGTGAACAAAACAAACAGACATAACAGGGAAAAAATGTCAAAAATAGGGGTACTGCAGTCAACTTTGTGTTATACTTTTAATCACTATAAAAACAAACAAAAATGTCAACAAAGAAAAACAAAATGGCATATAGACATAGCACATAAGCAAAAATGAAAGACAAGAATACAACAAATGGGGAATGTGTCCATGGAACACAGATGATGCCCCCGCTTGCATATAAGGTTATAAAGCGACATAACTCAAGAACGGTAATAGTGAGCTACCCAAATTCGTACATGACTTGAGTTTTGTGGTTATAAGCATTGTGTTTAAGTTTCATAACATTTGGTTGAGGCAAACTAAAGTTAGAGAACGGAAACCAATTTTGGGACGTACGGACGTAAGGGTAAAACTTAATGCCCCCTCCGCAACGGCGGGGTCATAAAAGTGACCATAGCTCAATAACATGGTAATGTAATGCAATGTATGATCTTGATTTGTAATACAGTGAGGAATATCGCATTCCTATCAGGACGACAACATGGCAATGTTATAAGATCTTGATTTGTTATACAATGACGAATATTACATGCCTATCAGGATGAGAACATGTTTATGTAATATGATCTTGATTTGTAATACAGTGACAAATATTACATACCTATCAGGACGACAACATGGTAATGTAATATGTAATATGGCTGACAACTTTTGTTCATATTACTAGTTGCCGAGTGCTTTGTGGAGTTAAATTAAAAACCAATTTTAAGAAATTATGTAGATCCGATCGGAAATTGAGCCCACGCCTTCCTTATACCAGTCAAGCACTCTATACCACGAGACCATCGAGTTGGTCCATGCAATAGCACATGCAATACAAGCGCTAGATATTTATATGAGATAAAATGAGATAAACTATATTATGGGCACATTATGAGTCTTCAGTCTGCCAAATCAGATTTGAAGCAACCGCTGTTGCATGCATAATGGTACATTTGTAAGCCAATGAAAGTTAGTTTAAACAAGCATTCTGTGAGTATTGCATGGCAATACATAGTCCCCTACCGGTTAAAATTCATTGCATTGGAACAAAATTCTAACTTGATCTATAACTTGTCATGGTGTAAACTATATAACAAATATCAAGTCAATATCTTCAAGCATGTCGAAAAAAAGTGTTGAAACTGATTATTTAAGTGAATTTTTTAAGTTCAAGGACCATAACTCTGCACTAAATCATCAGACCGAAACAAAATTCGAACTTGATCTGTAACTTGTCATGATAAAAATATATCCCAATTTTCAAATCAATATCTTCAAGCATGACGACAAAAAATGCGGAAAACTTATTATTTGCGTGAATTTTCTAAGTCCAAGTACCATAACACTGCACAAAATCATCAGACCGGAACAAAATTCGAACTTGATCTGTAACTTGTCATGATAAAACATTACACCAAATATCAAATCAATATCTTCAAACATGAAGAAAAAAAGTGTGGAAAACTGATTTGCCGGACTGACGGATGGACGGACAAACGGAGTGCAAACCTAAAGTCCCCTTCGACTTCGTCGGTAGGGGACTAATAAACGCTATTCGTAATCGTTTAAACACAATATTAGTTGGACTCCATTAATTTATAACTGTAATCATGCTAAGGTATCTACAGTTCTATGACCATTTTTCCGATATAAACGCTTTCATGCTTCACATTATCGCACTGATGGCAGATTAGAAATATTTACATAATTACAAGTCTTCATTATTCCTGATCATTGATGTATTTACTGCCCACAATTATATATTCAATATTACTATGAAGTCGATACTTAAGTTAAAACGGAAATATGTGCTTATTTGTTGTACTTGAGCTTGATGGCTTTATTAACATCAGTTTTAATCAATGCCTTTAAAAGAGAAATAATAAAAGCTTC